CACACACACACACACACACACACACACACACACACACACACACACACACACACACACACACACACACACACACACACACACACACACACACTTGTTCTTTTTAAATAACAATGATCTTTGTTAAAAAACATTATAATTGATTTGGGAGAGTTTTTTTTCTGTTGTTCACATCCTGCATATAACGTTAGCTGTCTTCCATGTGTTGCTTAAGTTTCCCCGGGTCATAAATGTCTCCACATGCCCAGAGGAGGCAAGTGGAGAATAAATAAAGCTTTTTGTCGGAGGCCTGCTGGCCGTCGTCCCAGAATCTCCTCTTCTTCTTCTCCTCCTCCTCAGTGTCCCTTCATCGGGCCGCAGAGCAGATTGACATCTTCACTCTGCTTTATCCACCAGTCTGTGTGTGTGTGTTTGAATTAATGTACAGTATGTCAGCTTGCAGTTCAAGCGTCTTTTCAAGTGTGTGTGACAAGTGAAATTCACTGTGTGTACACGGCGTAGTAAACACGAGTCTTTCTCTCAGAGTCTGTGTATCAGAGTTCGTCTCGGGATGCTCGGGCTGCGGGGGGCGGCATGTCTCCGCTGACGCTGTTCTGAGCCATGGCCTCGATGCTGCCCTGCTGGGCCGTCTTGAGGGCGTGCTGCCGGTCCCAGTCTGTTTCCACTGCCTCGTCGTCCCAGATGGTGGAGGTCTCCGTGTCGCTGAAGTAACCCGGCTCTCCGGTGTAGTGCGTGGGGTAGATGAGCAGCGGCTCCACGGAGAAGGCCTTCAGGTCCCGAGGCTCGAAGTGAGTCATGAACGCAGTGCTGATGAGGAGGGAAAACATAGAGATGTTATGGACACTGGAAGCAAGTTCATGGAGAATATATCATTATCAAAAGATTCAAAGGTTTTATTGTCATATGCAAAAAAGTTACTAGTAGCTAGTAGTTGGCAGGGACAATCACAACTCCAGGGATCAGCCAACAGTGGAACACACAATATACTTAAGACAAAAAGAAGTAAAAAGTGCAATAAAAGTAGTGCAAGTGATACAATTAAGCAAGTAAAATGCAGGAAGTAGTAAGCAAGTATCTGCTTAGTAAAGTGCACAATATTTTGGAATTATTTAGTAGATATGGTTAGGTTGGTTTGTTTTTAGGGTCTTTGGTTAGTGTTAGTTGTTTTGAAATGTGTAATTGTTAGAATACATCTCAACTCTTTACATATTTTCCCCAGCCACCTTTCCACCTTTCTGTCCGTTTCCCCATTTCTTTCACTTTGGAACAAACTCACCTTCTCTCACTGTTGGATACACACACACTGTGTTTACCTAGTAATCTATACACTGCACACTAGACACACATCTCTATGTATTCACACACACACACACACACACACACACACACACACACACACACACACACACACACACACACACACACACACACACACACCATCTCTATCCCAACCCTACTGCCAGGCCTCTATCAATGGGAATCCTGTCCCCTTCTCCAACCAGCAGGAAGAGCCGTGCTGGCCCACATTCCTCAAAGGGAGAGTAGGAAGGGGGAGGAGAAATGGGTGACACAGGAAAGGGGAAGGTGTGCAAAAAAGTAAAGGTCTGTTAATTAAGGGGGGATGTTAAAGAAGTAAAAGAGAATAAGAAATTAATAATGACAGGCGAGACAGATTGCTGATTTAAAGGATGAAACATGGAATGATGTTTAGGTGAAGATGGAGCAGGGCATGTGAGGAATCCCCGAAGAAAAAAGAAAGAGAAAAGCCGGCATTGTGTGTCCTGCGCAGGGTCCTGTACCCACTGAACCCCAAGAACAATCCAAGCCCTGTGTGTGAGGCAGCACAGAAAAAAGGGAGTTAAAGAAAAAAGGGAGAAAGAGGAACATAATCGGGGGGAAGGAAGGAAGGAAGAAAGTGGAGACATATAGGGAGCATAAATTGGAGTTGAACTGGACGGAGGTTGTGGTCGACCACACGAGAACAAACTAGAAAATTACACACTATCCAACTGTCTAAAATATCTCCAAGAAACTGTTTGTGTCTTTGTTGAGATAATTACTCTATAGTAAGTCCTGCAGTTGTTATGAGCACGGCTTTCGCCCTCGAGTCTGTTTTTGTGCATGCAATGGATCAATGGACTGTGTTCTTTAAATACAGCTTTCACTTTAGCATCTTAATGTTTATTCTTAATGTAGACTGCTTGAGCTATTCTTATTCAGGAGCGTACCTGTAATCATGTATTTGTGGTTCACAGTAAATATTTCTGTTCAAACCCTCTAAAAAGGTCTTTGTCTGTTAGTCATTATACAGCAATACTTATTTTAGTAGCCTCTGTGGTTTTTATGCAGTACATGCCTCAAATAAAGCTCCCTGTCTGTGTGTATTGTTCTTCATGTTGTGTTGTGCACGTATGCAACACTGTCATTTGAAATCAAAGTAAAGACTGACTTTGGGTGTTTGTTGAACATGACAGGGAGGTACTCGTCGACAGGCAGCATCTTCGACAAGGGTTTAGCATCCAGTAACTTCTTGGCTCCTTGCAGTGAGAGCGCGTAGCCGAGCGTCCAATAGGAGTAGTCGGCCTTCACCAGGTTGTTCACGCCGTCCACAGACTGCTCCGGCTGCTGCACCTGCATACGCTTACGGCCCACGTAGCTGGAGAGGACGGAGAGAAAGAGTGTGTTTAGATTTAAGGCGAGACACTACATGCACTGATCAATGTTCATTAATTTGACAAAAGTTAGCATGGGATTATGCCTTTTTGCATATGTAATCATATCATTTTGGAATACTTGTAGTACCAAAAATATCTGTCCTATTGTAATTAATCAGCAGTGAAAGTGTCTATTAGTTCATTGTGTTATCCTGTTCACCTGTAGTGTCTTGCAAAAGGTATGGGATTTTCCAATACATATCCTTATAGCTTGTTTCTCAAAAACAAGAATGTTTGAACATCAGAAATAATATAAAATCCTGAGACTATATGTCCACAAAATTAAAGGTCCCCTATCATACTGTTTTTCATCAATATATTCCAGGTCTCAGATACAAAACATGTCTCTGAAGTGTTTGGCTCCAAACACCAAACAGATCATTGCAGCATTACCCATAATCCCTTCTGGTTCAGCCCTGTTTCAAAAGTGCTGATTCTCTGTCTGTTACTTTAG